GTTACGTTTCTTTCCACTGGTTTTCCCTTCGGTATTTCTGCTTTGTTGGTTAAAAAGTTGTTTTTTGTCTGTCTACTCATTGTTTGTATCCTTTTCTTCTTTATCGAACTGCTTCAACAGCCAGACAAGAGACCAATGCTGCAGGGCCGAGCATAACTTGCATTACATCGAGGAACCTGAGGACCTGGATCGTGGATGTAAAGGGTCATAGCTCTGTTGTTTGAACCCCCTTCTCTGCACCTGTTTCGACCAAACTGAAGTCCGTGCAAGAATCCCAAGTACAACACACAATAATCGCTGTTAACTTGAGGACAACAAAAGTGCCATCTCTGTATCTCTATGTGGACATAACAGATGGCAAAGCCAAGAGTGAGGTGTCACAGAGGTAGTTTGGCATCTTCGAGACCAAGAGGATTATAAGAAATGGAGAGGTGTAAAGGAGAGGATCGATTTATATGATTAAGTTTTTAATAGCAACTTCTCATTCGCCAAATTAACGCAAGCTGCATCCGAAAACCTATCTTACATCTTAAGGTTAGAGTGAGAGGCTGTCATGAGTAATGGGAGAGTTCGTCGGCGCCTCTTCCACCTGTAGAAGATACGATGTAGCTCACATTATAAGTTCCAGCTAGCCTGATAGGATTGCGTAGTTGCACTTTTCCCTTAATACTATAAACCATATCTCAAATTGAGACTCCCGGAAGTAAGGCACTGGGTGCCATCGTCCGATTGATTAGCCCTTGTGTTAAACATGTTTATATAGCGATCTATTTTCAGCTACTTCTGCTGCTGTCATCTTAAAACCAAACAATGGCTGTGCATACAACATTACGTGTACAAGTTAAGTACACAATAAATCAAAACTGAGATCTGATTTAGCCCCCAAAGTGCCTGTTTAGTCCTGCAGGCCAAAGTTGAATTCAGCCTCTTCTGGAGCCATTTGAGCACGATGAATTTACTCCAAAACAGCCCCATCTAAGGCTGTCCCCGCCCATGCTGGAACACATTTCAGCCCGTGGGTTCAAATCAGCCTAAAAATAGGACTGTAGTTTTAATACTCACCGAAACGGCCCAATTTTGGGACTAAAACAAATTTTTTTTATATTTACAGTGTAAAGCTACATTTTATGAAAGTCCGTGAAACCGCCGTAGCTATGAAGCTAGAAATTGTCGCACGCTCGAGACAATACACTCGTACCAGACGCAAAATTATGTTCAGGTGTCGCATGATTCAAGAGTACAGTTTTCTCAAGGGCCTCAACTATTTTGCAACTGCTTAAAATTCTAAAATACTGATTAACCCTTTGAGTGCTAAGAGTGACCAAAATCAATTTTGTCCTAAATTTCAGTTATTCAATCGCTAGAAACGTTTGAGGAGAATTTAAAGAAAGAACGCTAAAGGAAATATTCTCCCAACTAATTAGTTAAGGAAATAAATAGAGATCAATATTGAGAATTTGTATGTGGATATTGGCGCCTAAAGGTTTTCAATGTAAAGGAGACTACATGTAGAGCGTTATCCTCCTAAAGAAATTTAAATTTCTGGGCGTGTTGCAAGTGGCAGTTGCCAGTCAAATTCTAGGATGTTACATGAATCTTTCAGTTAAATATAGAGGTGTATCTATATGTTTAAAGTACCAGTCAAAAGGCGATTACAACCAAAAAGTTATCGGTGACTGTGATTTGACCGGTGACCGGCCTCAAAGCGCCAGACAAAGGCCCGGTCGGGTGGACATTCGATTTTACTTGAAACTATATTTTGCCACCATAGCACTGCTTTTGAACTAAAACGTTTATACTTTTAGCCATTTATATCAATTATAACAAAGCCCATCTCGTATCACTCTTAAGCATAAATTTTATAGAAGTTGTAGATTTGATATGGGCATTTATGACATTTAATAAAAGTTGTCTTTTTTAAGTGCAAGTTTTTTGCCTTCTCTTAAGGGATATAATAGAAATGGAAGATTTGATATAGGCATTTATGACATTTAATAACAGTTGTTTTTTTTAAGTGCAAGTTTTTTGCCTTCTTTTAGGGTAAGCAAGAAAGAGTTTGTAGGTTTTTAATACTGTTCTTAAAATCTCATTAACACTTTTAATGCAGCTTTTTAAGCTCAGTCAACCGGATCAAAACATCCAATCTCTCTCCCGGTCGTCCGCACATTTTTAAGCCCTTGCAAACCTTTCACGATTTGGTATAAGTTGAGTTCTGCAATAACTACGAACCTTCATGGAACGCGGAAATCAAATGTGGGAGCCTATGTGGGATTCCTGTTTGATGTACCTCTTCCTTTCAGTTAAGTTATATGCAAACCTCTTTTTACATTTGAAAAGCCTTTCATGCGGTCAATTCTCCCTTACGCATTCAAATGCCACCGAGAACTCCGTTCACGTGACATCTCATGATTATGTCGAAAGTGAAAGTAGTTATTCATGACATTATTTTCGTTTTCAGAGCACGTACAGGAATTTCTTTCACTTGACCTTTCTCCTGCGGCAAATATTTACCTTCAGTTATGCTAAATATAATGATGACATGCGTGAATGTCCATCGCAGCTCTCTAACCAAAAACGTTATGATTTTTTTTTAAGGGCGTCGATAAAACCCGTAACATGGAACATTCCGGAACATGCCGGTACATTCCGGAACATCCCGGAACATGAAAAAATAAAAATGATTTTCATAAAAAAAAAATAATAAAATAATAATAATAATAATAATAATAACAATAATAATATTTTTTGTAAAAATTAATAAATAACGTAAAATAACAAAAAACCGAAAAAGAAAGAAATAAAGAAAAAGAAACTCGAATTATCTCCGGGTATGAGAAAACAATATTTTATCGCAGATAATTTGTGGGCCGAGGGTCCATGCAAATGACAGTAATGAGTGAAGGTTTGCTTCTAAAATCAAAATATATTAAAATGGGTCGTGAGGAGGGGGAGGTTCAAGCTTTCCTCACGCAGCCACCCCTCGTAATTGTTTGCAATAAGTTGCAGTGGCAGTGGCAGTGGTAGCGCAGCGTTAGTTTGTAACTGTTATCAGTTAGCCTGAATAGCCTGAATTGTATCCGTCCCCCCCCCCGCCCCCCCGCCCCCGAGAGAGAGGTTCTTTTCATTTAGAAATTTCGTTTTTATGGCCTCAAAAACACTAAAATCCAAGGGTAATCGTCCGCTAAAATTGTTGCATTTTTTTCTGTCCTCATCCGGGACACTTTAAATGAGAGGCCGTGTATATCTTCTTCGACAATTGAAATATAACCCCACGTACGATATTAGATAGTAAAGTGCAATGGTTATGAAGCCCGTTAACCGTCTTTGTAATATATATGTATGTTTTTCCTGGCTTTTTTGGACTTGACCCGTGCACCACATTAACTAACATTTCTTTAATTATAAACTTACAAAAACATCGCATTAATTTATTCAGGCAAATTTTTATGAACAAAAATGTGCACGTTCAGGGAGTTCCCAAAATAATCTGCAGCACTTTTGTTTCCATCTTTGATGTTTGCCAGCTTTTCTAACCAGTCTCCTCTACTAACTATGGTCCCAGCAATGTTTTAAATATTCGCCTTGCTTTAGTTTTCCGACTTTCATAACCAGTCTCCTCTACGGTTCTACCAATGTTGTAAAATATTAGTCAGGGGGACCCCAGGTAAGTGAGGTAACCCGCCTGTCCACATAATCTCTCATTTTAATTTGATCACGTGGGGTGACCCGCCACGTTACCGCACCTATCTGGGGTCCCCCAATTCCATATAAACAGGGTCTTAGTTGCACAACGATTTGTTGACAAAAACAGCAACAACAAACACAGATCAAACCGATAAATTTCAGACCGACTAAAGCAAAGCCCATCTAAATTCTACAAAAACAACTGTCTTTGAGTAATTTAAAAGTTCCATCATATTTACGGCCGCTACTTGCGGCCAAGGGAGAGTGGACAGTGCTTAACCGAGGTCAAACATTTGAAGCGTTCAGTTTTTGTTTTATATGTAGAGGATATTTCCTCTATTAAGAGGAATAGTGTACAAGGATGTATAGAAGAATTATTTTATTAAACTATCTTTGCATTTTTCTCTTAGTAATGAGCTTTTGCCGTTGAAATCGCTTCTCGCTCAAGTGAACTTGACAAAGGCTGCGGGCAGTAACACCACTTCCAGTTTTCAAGCACCCAGAACTCTTAAAACGTTTTTCCGAGGAAAAGATTTAGTAAATTAAGAGAGTGTTAATAATGCGTTTAACTTTGAAAGTGAAAGTAATAACTCTAAACAGTGCGCACGCTTTCCTACCTCACGCGATCCGAGTACACAGAAAAAGTACTATCAAGGGGGCGGGGTACACGTAAACTAAGGGTTCAGCTACGGACGTGACCATGCAATAACAGGGAACTTAGGCAACGACGACGGTGACGTCAAAGGGAACAGCAAAAAAGCAATAGGTTTAGCTTGGCAAACAGCAGCTCTGCACGTGCATCACGCCTTTTTTTGTACATTTCTTTACCGTCACTGCACGACTACGACGTGAAAATACCTAATTTCATGTTTTATGGAGGACGTGAACACAAGACTAGATTACGAGTAGTCCCCCATTTTTCCTCAGGGATAGTGGAGCGAGCGAAACGCGAGCGCGCGTGAAAATCAAGGGACTACTCGTAGTCAGTAACACAAGACAATCACTTTCTTTTTCTTTTCCTGAACTTCGATACAGTTCTTTAGAATTCATCTCCAGAGAAAATTGCCGACATTTGATAAATTGAACGCCGCCATCCGCCATGGAATAAGCGCGATAACGTTTGAAGCAGCGCGACTTCACTTTTTAAGTGACGTTTTCGTAGCCGTCACCGTCGTCTTTGCTTAAGCTCCCTAATGACTCATGACACCGTTAAGGCAAAGATCCCTGAAATGTTAAAAAAAGAACTTTGGTGAGTCACGTTCACGCCAGTATTGGAGTTTATTAACATGCACTGTATCATAAAGAAAGAGGAAAAACATACTGAAATTATCACATTGACGAAGAACACTGCATCAAAAGCTTTTCACTGTCAAAGAAAAAGGGTGAAGGAGGGTTCACTAAGAGTAGCTTTAAAAAGGTACATATTACGATTTTTTTTAACCAGATTAATTTAAAACATTGAAGAGTCAAAATATTCAAATTTCAGTCTTAGCTGGCTTACCGGTGAATCAAACGCCAAAATGCGAGTGACATACTGTGAAATTTAAAAACGATGCTTGAGAATGCCACGTTCGTTTAGTGTACTCGAATCACTGGATTCTATACTTGAAAACAAAATACAACGTAAAATACCAAGCTAATTAATGCTTAATTAGTGAAATTAGATGAAATAGTCCTCATTTTTTGCATCTTCAATTTCTCCTTCTAAAATTATTTCGTGTGGAAAGGGCCAAAGTATTAGAATTTCGCATTTGACACGTCACTATAGAAACAAAATGATACCGATATCAAAAACACTTCCCTAAAGAGGGTTGCTTTAATAGTCTATTATAATAGCTAAACGTTACTATTCAAGTGCACCGAACAAACCTTTTTAAAAGTGACTGCAACAAACAGGTAGAAAGGAAGTGGGCTAAAATTAAAACTTGCGCACGTTTGGCTGAAATTTCAAAGCTCTTTAGTATGGTAAAGCTAATTCAATATACCGTTCAAAAACCATTGATGATGGTAATTTGCGGGCACCTTGGAGGATGAATACATATTCCCCTCCCCCTCCCCCTTCCCTTTCTGTCTCTGCCACGCAAGCAAAATTACGTAAGCGAGCGAGCGCCGAGCACTCAGTATTTGGGGTCGCGCCAAGAAGCTCTCAGAACGAAATGTTTAACTGTCAAACCAAACAATAGATGACCTAACCCTAAAAACAACAAGTGCGTTTCAAAAGCTAATTAATGAAAAGAGAGGTTTCTGTCACAGATTTCAGTATGGCTCCAGAGTATTTCACGAGTCAGAGGGAGGTCGAGAAGAGTTTTCTGCTTGTCATTAAAGACGCCTGCACTACAAACTCCCTGAGACCAGTCGCCAACGTATCATGTCATCATGTGCATGCAAATCACAACGATCAAGGAGGAGTGAAACCTAAAACTTAGATAAAAGTCTCAGAAAGGCTCTGGCGAACGTTCAATGATCCTGAAGGAGGATTATGTCATCGAAGAAGTTAAATTTTGCGGATGGAAAATTGCATTTAACAAAATTTTATGTCCCCATAAGCCAGCTTAACTTATTTAGCTTTAAAATCTTTTACTCTAGGAAATGTTACGGTCGTAGGTCTCTAGTCTAGTAGGAAAGGAAATAAATCATTAAGAAATGCTACGTTCACTTTATGCTGACTAATGACATTGCTAGTCAGAGGAAACGGGTGATGCTAGAGCTAAATATATTCCGCCAACGTTATATTGAATGCACGGTAAGGAAAAAATGGTCGCTGCTGAACTATACTCACCAACTGAATTCTCCTCAGGAAACTATCGAAACTATCGAAGCAGTTTCACGTTATGCTGACTAATGACATTGCTAGTGAGAGGAAACGGGTGATGCTAGAGCTAAATATATTCCGCCAACGTTATATTGAATGCACGGTAAGGAAAAAATGGTCGCTGCTGAACTATACTCACCAACTGAATTCTCCTCAGGAAACTATCGAAGCAACAATTTGCAAAGCAAATCCCTCGGTTTAGATAAACAGCAACGCAAGTTCTATGAAATTCGACAAACTCAATGATTTGTCTGACTCAGATAAGGGGGAAACCCCCGCGCCCTCAGAAACTGCTGAATTTCAGTAGAGATAAGGTCGTAAGCATTTTAATGACCCATTCTTGCCGACTCCATGAACTGTTGTAAGCTTGTTGTAGCAGCGACGACAATGCTAAACTTTACACATTCTTTAGCCACAGGTTACAGTCTCAGGCTACTCTGCGATACAAATTCTGTTTTTAAAATATTATTGTAAATTGCAACTTGTTTCCGGGTTGTTAAACAGGAGGTGACGCGAGGTTTAGGACACATCAAAATGAAAACAAATAAATAGTCTAAAAAAACAATGAAAAGTGGAATCCCGATTTTGCCAACCACGATGGGAGAAGTAATCGATTCTAATAACCAGGAGGTTTGAAAACTCGAGGGCAATTTTATACAGCATGCAGTGTTTGACTGGTGAAGGGAAGTTACGTTTGGTTTGAATTACCGAGAATTTTGAAATTAACCCGAGGGTTCGAGAAAGTTGGATCAAAATTCATCAAAATTCATGGTGGGTTGTTAAGACTTGCAACCCATCCTAATATTTACACACCATTTCTTGGCATAAAAAGGTCATAAACGGTCACGTGAAAATACAAGGCTGACTTCATCGCCCACGTCCTCAAATTACACCATCACATCAAGCACTCTCGCGATTCATTCATTAAATCATACACTTGCGCCATTATGGTTCGATGTCGTGTCAAAGTAATAACACTGTTTTAAAAACAGCGGAACAAAACGAGAATTTTTAAATATCCGACTTTCGGGGGAAGGGGTTAGCATACAGCAACGTCTTGGAGTAAACTGTGCAGCATATTTGCTTTGCGGAGGTGAACAGCTAACCGATGATATTCGCCAGAGAATTGCTAAACATGAACAGTTGGTAAGTTCACTTGATCCCCAATTAATTTATTGAAACGTATATTTGTTTTCTTATTTTCAGTTTATTGAGTAATAAAGCTTCAGAGAAAGCCTGTTGTCTGGAAAAAGTCTCTCGGAAGACGTAGACTGCAGCTTCGATAGACAGTTAGGGTCCCGGAATATATTGGAGCAAGTGTTTATTAATAAGTACGCTGAAAATATCACTGGCAAATGATAAGGTAAGAAAAGCGAACGCCGAGACTGATACAATATCTTGGGTAAACTCGTAGAATCTCAAACATTTCATTTTCCCTTAGGTTTATTATTTTTTTTTATGATTTTGATTTTCCTTGTTTTTGTGACGGCAAAGTCCCACAAAGTCCTACGAAAGGACCCACGAGGATGGATGACACAGGTGCATCATTTGCATAAACAATGAATGGTCAACTTCAGCTGATGTGTTATGATTATTAACAAACAGATCCTTCTTTCAATTCAAGACGCCTCCAAGTTTATTCAGTGCAAACAAAATCGGGGGTGGAACAAAAAAAACTAATTGACTGACTCGTTATTCTTTGCCTTTTTTCTGACATATAATCATTTCCTATTTTAACAAGTACACGATAAGTATTATTAGACAAGTGTGCATCATTGATTTTGTATCAGTAGTTACTTGGTAAAGCAAGTTTAAATTAAATTACGAATATTGCTCATTCATGCTCAACGCAAGATTTCAACATTGATGTTATAAACTTTCTTTTATGCACGGTTAAAAACCTCACCACTAGAAGAGACGGCACGGAACCTCGCAAATGAGTAATATTCCGTCTATACTAAAACAAGAAATGGCCTTTACTTTAAGAATTTTTTGTACGTTTGAAAAACATTGCAGGACTGTCAACAGAACTAAAAGATGCATACGTATTACGTACAACGTTTTTACCAACAGGTGCATGTCTATTGATATTTACTCCGTTTTGTCCGCTTTTACACTTATATTTAGAAAATAACTAAGATAGTGCACGCGCTCTGATTGGCCGAGAGGCGTGTTTGCATGAGAGTACGTAAACATGGTTGTGACGTAAGCACAAATTTGCAAATGGTTTTGAGTTGAAAAACTCGACAAGTTTACTTTATTTACCCATTTCCTCGTCGGTTGAAACTTGAAAAATCTTTAGAAACGTGCTGTGTCGGTTGTTTTTCGCTTGAGCTGACATTTTAAGCGAGAAAAACCCGTATTTTGGAAAGCATTTTTTTTGCAAAACAAAGACTGATTACGAGTACAAGCTTCGTGTACAAGACTTCGCGACTGGTAAGAATTTCTCTTTTAATCAATGCTTTAAACAAGAGAGTTTTGCTTTTTTTTCTCGGGAAAGCTATTTTATAAAAGCAATAGAAAACTGTTTTCCTGTGTTTGCATATCCTGAAATAAACACTCGAGAGGTTGGGAGAATTCTCGACAGTTATGCAAACCCTCGACTTCGTCTCGGGCTTGCACAATTGTCTCGAATTCTCCCAACCCGTCTCGTGTTTATATCAGGCTATGCAAACACGGAAAACGTTTTCTATTGCTTAAATGATGTAACGGGCTATTCTGAGATAATTTACAAAGGAATAATACTTACCTTAAGTTACAAGCAACCGAGGTATTAAAAATACGAACTACTCGTTCTTGCACATAAGCTTATCGCAACTGAAAACTAAATGTACAAACTTTAGTAAAAGCGAGGAAAATCTATTTATTAACAGTCACCCGATGATTAAAATCGATCACAATCAGTTCGAAAAGAAACATTGTCTTGCAAGTCGCAATATGTTTGGCGGGAAACCATTGGTTTAGACCACGTGGTTTCGGTCGCAGTTCGTCTAAAGACGAGGAACAAGATCCATTATTGCAGCGTTTATAAGTCCTGAGCAGTAGACCTCTGAAACTTTAAATTTGTCACACAAAGCCGACGCCATAAAGCATATTCAAGGATCACAAAATAATGTCGAAGGGAATGTGCTTAAGAAGCACAGTTTACGCATGACTGAATGACTCGTATCATTCATACGAGTCATAGGCTATGACTGCTATCAACTCACTACAAATATTGTTTCGTAATCTAAATAGCAAGAAAGCAATTCTCGCTGACTCAGTGATATTTTGGCTCTACGCATTATGTCGACTCACTCATCTTGCTAATCCATCTGTTCAGTTCGTCTTTTGCATCACTTCTCGTCACCTCTGAGACCAATGATATTCTATAAATGAATGACTACGTACTCATGATCACACAAGATCAAAAATCAAAATGATATTTTCTCAGGTAAGGGTCAATACCCTAGCGTTTGCACCAAATAACACAGGTGATCATTTTAAGCACTGGCTCTGAAGGGTGACAATTTTAAATGAGGACCTCGTATAAATGGTTCAATACACGACGAATATGGCTGGGGTTACTTGAAGTGTCTTTTGTAAAATTTGGTATGGATTTCGACATGGGCAAGTGGAATATTTTTAACATGACGCTAATATGCCTACCGTCTAACTCTAACGGGGGTGACAGAGGTACTCTCAATTTTCAATTATAAGGCGGTATTAGGTCCAGCAATTATTGAAAGAGGTTGAAAAAACATGCAGGCGAAAGCCGAATTTTCAATCATTTGTTTAATTTCCTAGTACGTAAAATATTTTCACCTTCACAAATATCCTCACATCCACGTACTAGACTTTCTTCAAAACATATTTATATACCTCGGCAGTTTTATAATAGTTAACTTATTTTCCTCAGAAGATACTCTTCAAAACAGCAGTTGACATCCATCGAACGTTTGCGGTTATTTTGTCTTGGTACTGCTGTGAACTCCTTTTTGCGCCATTTCCTAGCCTGGCGTCCTGCTCTACCAAAAAAGTCAAGTCTTGCGTGATGTCATAATATGCGATTACAGAAATCATTGACGTCAGCGACTGCGGAACTCAAGAAAATGGAATAGCTGATTCGACGGACGTTCGTTTTTTGAGAAACATCTGTGAAAAGAAACATCCTTTAATATCTGGAAACTGCCACGGAGCTGAAAAATGCTGTCAAAAAATTCTACTTAGTTAAGGTGGACGAGATAAGGATGTCATGAGGTTGAAATAAGTTTAATAATAAAACGCTTTCGTAGTGACATGACAGAGATATGCAGATCTCTGAGGAAGTTATGGCGTTACTGGCTTCATAGGATAATTTTGTTCTTATATATTTATTTTTCTCGTACTTCAAGTCTTTTCCAAAAACTGTTACAAATTGAATTCCTGCCAACAAACTTGCCTGAGTGTGGGACCGCGGCAGGATTAGCTCAGTCGGTAGAGCGTTTGACTGCAGGGCGGAAGGTCACGGCTTGGATTCCCGGGGCCGGACCAATAATCAGGGTCTTAAAATAACTGAGAAATGAAGGTACTCGCTTTGCACAGCAAGCGGACAGACCTAGGCTTCGAGTGGCTCTGATGACCACGTAAAATGGCCGTCCCGTCTCCAGCAGGAGATGTAAAAATGGTGTCCCCAATTTACTTTCGTGCTAAATACCTTGACACTCAAATAAAGTGTTTTTTTTTTTAGAAAAAAGCGGGGGAATAGTTATATAGGGAGGGGGTGAGAAAGAGATAGAGGAAAGTCGAAGGGAGAAGGCACACAAACGGGGAAGAGATAGGAGAAATATGAGTTTGGATTTTCTAGTCACTGCCTCTGAACGCATTGTATTTCAATATTTACAGATGAAAATCCTGAATGTTTGCGTAGTCCTTATCTGGTCATTCTGCATATTAAATGCTGGAAGTCGACGACCAACATGTCCACAGTTAACACACTTTACCATATTCTACCCAAGTAACCCAGATGCAAAAGAAACGTGTAGAATATGCCCAAAGTGCCCACCCGGCTATGGTCTACCTGTGCAATGTGGCAGCAGAGTTTCCAATATTACTTCCACAGACTGCGAACAGTGTATAGAAAACAAGACATACTCTGAGAAAAACGACATTTCTGAATGCAAATCATGCAATGACTGCACGGGAAGAAATGTTCTTCAAATGTGCAGCAAATTAAACAACAGCAAATGCGGAACATGCCTTCCAGAGTATTACTCGGTTGATGAAGTGGACGACTGTAAGAAGTGTTCATTTTGTTGCAAAGATGCTTTGGAGCATGAACATCTTAGACAGTGTAAGGCTCTTGGAATGCCACGGCACATGCAGTGTGAAGATACCGATAAAAACAGGAAGTGCGAAATACAAGCTCTACTTTTAAGCAGCACGACAACGACAACAAGTCGTCCTTTAGTGACAGTTTTACCCACAAGTAAGCCTGGTCAAACCAGTGGTTCTGGAGTTACCACTACCGGTATACCAAGTGAAGGCACTGAAGTTAAGAGTATCAGGAAATCGGTAGCTGCGCCCAGTGATTCATCCCACAATAGGTATGAGATTATGTACGGACTTGTTGGAGTTTTAAGTGTTTTGGTGCTGGGTGCTATAATGTGTGCAGTCAAACTCAAGACAGGCAACGGATCGCGAAATAGGCACAGGATAGGCAGGATCTACAACAGCATTGGGCAAGGTAATATCCTACTGCATTTTCTTTACGTATACTTATATCCTTCTTTATGTGCTGCATTAGGCTGAGCTCAATATTCTGGGCCCCAACAGTTGAATTCCGTTCCCGCAAAAGATGCCAGAATTGGGCTCCTAGTGGCTATATGCATGAGTACAAAGTCACTCATTTATAGAAAACCGATTCTAAATTTAAAAAAACAACATAGGCTGCTAGAGCTAGTAATATGAAAATCAACAGTGAGACTTGGCAAGAGGAGGAGAGAGAGCGGCCTAAATTTTAGCGGGAAAACAAATCCGAAAATAG